TTTATACAGAATTTGAAGTTTGGCCGCCGGATAAGTTCTGGCTAGCGCAGTATTCAGTTTCCTATTGATTGTGTTTGCAACCTCGTCACCTTTGAAGTTAAGACTTACGGTTATTGGTTTTTTATTGACAGTAATTACTTCAGTATTGTTTTCTTTACGCTCCTTATACTTGTCAATAAACTTTTGTGGGTAAAAGTTGTCTCACAGGCATTTTATTCCAACTCTCTTATTTTATCATCTGAACTCTACTCATTTTATTCCTATCAAGTTTATTTGTTTCTAACCGTTTGAACTGTTGTCACAATGTTCTTTCATCACATAAGGTATATATTTACAATATTCAGTCTATTAAATTTATTTACACCCTTGCTATACTATATGAATTTGTCTTTAATAGAACTTCCAATCAAACTCTTTTATGTAAGTAATTTAAACCCATTAATTATGATTTTATATCTTTCTACTTGATTTTGTAAGATGGTTGATACATTGGATCATTACAACAGGCAACCGGCAATGTGTAAGGTGTTGGTTGAATATAGTCGACAGGAAACCCTATTTCATTTAGTTGGAGGTAGTCAACCAACCATCTGATATCTTAACACAGTGCAAGCCATATAGAGACATCTAGACTAGTGGCTATATTGTAAATTAATCGAAAGAATTCGAATAGCACCAAGAAGGACTGAAAATAGATGACACTAGTCACTGTCAAGTGACCAATCAATTGTAAAAACTGAAAAACTGTTAGAGTGGTTGATTATATTTTCATTAGTCACATGTTAATGAAACACACGAATAAAATTGCTAATGGAGATTATTTTGAAACTGATTGCCGAATTATCTAATTGCATCGATTTTTTTGTATTAACAGTGACTAAAAACGTACACACTTATGAGATAATCTTACATTAGAATATGATATATTAACAACATTATAGACTTATATGGATAATATGGAACATGAAAATGTAATTCAGTTAGTTAGTTGACTTGTACGTCTCTCTTATGTTGATAAAGTCTTTTCTCCATAAATTGAATTCAACAAATGCGACCATCAAAAATTAGAAACTAGTAAATTATTACTTTATTCCAATGTTGGATTCATCAACTTCATAAATGTCTACTGCCGTAAAATTCCAAATGAATCCATAATAATATCTCTGGTGATATAGCAAGTATCTTTGAGAATGGATTTTAATTAGAAAAGTTAGTAGTTAATTGTAATTCGAATCGTTTCAGTTGTTTAATACATCTTCGTTTATGTATGATTGTTCTGAATAAATCTGTTACATCTACAGTATTATAAAATACTTTCGATAGCATATGTTCAAAATTAAACTGCAGAAAAGAAATAGTGACTTGTCTGGACAAATTATATGCATCAGCATGGATTCGGTTTTCATTATTTTAAACAACTTATCACCAAAAGATTCACATTCATCGTTAATACATCATATATATGGGTGTGATACAATCAAAGATGATCTTCATGGTTGAAGGATGCACATATTTTAAGCTAACCTCGGATCAAACTGCTAGTCTTCTGACAATGGTGTTCTCCTAACTATAAGCGTTCCCAGATTATCTTTCAATACATATCGATATGACAAGTAAAAATTAAGCCTGATGGTCAGATTTTATTATTTGTTCTTAAGATTATGTATTTTACGATATCACTTCACTGAAGAAACAAACTATGCTGGCGATGTGCTTCTTTTTGGATAACAGTTCGATTGGGTGACGAGGTGTTACATTAATAATTCAATTTTATGGGCAGTTAAAAGTTACTCATTATACACTGTCGATCGGTCATTCTTCTATTCATCGTTTACAAGAAGTAAAAGATGTTTATCATCACAAATCCTGGAATATATATGTATATATGCGTGAAATATAACATATACTTTGTAACTGTGAATTATTTGGTTCAATCTGAAATACCGACAGTAATTGAGCAGATAATGACTAATTATTCACTCTAACCTACAGTATTTACTAGAAAAAAACTCTTCATAATCCAGAAAAATATCTCATGCCTGAAAACGTTTTTAAAAATGTTTTCGAATAGAATTGAAGTGAGATTCAATAAAAAGATATCATAGTTGAGAATAATAATAAAACATTTAGACAAGAATATTAAAACAACACTAAATCCAGAAAATGGATCTCTTTTTGAATCTGTCTTACTGAAAGAACTTTTTATAAGACTACAGGAGTTTGTCATTTTTCCTTACTGAGGGATCGATTTATTGTGAAATACGACCTTTGTATGTGGTTGCCACCATTATCACCTCTGGTCACACTTGAGTTGGAATTACTAGAATGTACCAGTGTGATAGTAGAGGTGATCTTCATCTTGCATGTGATTTGTTAAGAGACGCTAGTTTGCAAAAAAAACCCAGTGTTTCGATGAACAACAGATCGAACCAGTTATCAACGTAATGATATTGAAACCAATGTGTATCTTTGAGAGATTTCTTTCAACTTGTATAGGATATTCATCACGGCTTGATATCACTTTGAGTACCACTTAAAAGCCGTTTCGTCACAGAATGGGTCCCTTCAGTAGTATGCACCAAAGATATCAGCTACAATCAAACCTATGATCAGTCAGCCAATTCACACGACCACCATTAAGTACCGTTTATGATATATCTGTCAATTGCAATATAATTGAACGCTTCATAAATGTAGTCATTCATCTTAAATGACGGCATATATGAATACAACTAAGATGGGCTGAGTTTAACTTTTATCATGAACCAATAAAGCAGACTGATTGATACACTAAGTACTTAATACATAAGATTTGGCTATGACAATCGTCTGTATATCATTCAGTGTATGTACGAATTAAAAAAATCGTTTTACAAATTGTTTAGTTAGGGTTATCATCTATTAAGTTTAAATAATGTCAGTTAACCAAATTATTCAGCTGTAAAAATTGAATTTTTCAACAAACAAAAAATATTACAATCGACTTTATAACTATTTAGTAAATCGATATTTGATAGTAGTCAATAAGATTTCAGAAGAGTTTCTATGATCCAATGAAATTTTAAAGTTATTATCACATTAATTCAACTTTGATGTAGTTTTCAATTTACAGAATTGTTGGGATATTCATAAAAATATCCCAAAGATTCTTCTGTTAAGTTGAACGTGAGATGGCGTCGTCTTCCTATTGGTCAATATTTGTTTCACGTGTCATTTTCCTATTGGTCAATATTCCCGGTCGTTTTAACTGTATAAATATACATTGTCTGTAAAGTATTATTATTCTTCTTCTCCTGGCCCCATAAACAATTTTCATCCAACGGTTCGCGTTCTGATTTATTGGAGATTGGCGAACAGTATTGGGGTCGTACTGTGATATCTGGAGTTGGTCAATCGATAGAATTTAGAATAGCCACCATGCGGTAAGCGATGCTCAAGCATACATATTTATACAATAATAAAGGTACAACGGTATAGATAAGTTGTTATTATACAGATGACTTTGTCCGTTAAATAAATTAACAAAAGAGCTTGACCAAATTAAATGTTAACAAACTCAAATGTATGTGAGCTGCTATAAACTATTGAATGTGAAAAAACCCAGAAGACACTGGATATTTAAGATTCGCTTTTTGTATAATCCTTATGAAGCAACGACTGTTAGATCAACACATCAAGAAGTGATAGTCTAACCACTTGTAAGTTTATTTCACCTTATATTATAAAACAGTAACTGACATGAAGGTTGACGATATATTATGCGTACAGTTTGAATAAGTCAATGTTTTATACAGGTACTATTAACTGAAAATTCATCTGATAATGTTGAAAATCAGTGTTTAGTACACAACATTGTCACTGAATGAGAGGAATTTGTGAACAACAATCACTTTCAGGTATCGTCAATTCGAAAAATCAGGTTTTCACATAAATTGTAGTAGAACTCCGTTTACACCTCAAAGTTGTACGTCAGATATTTTACTAACAGATTAGCATGACAACAGCGTTAAAGGTGCTTTAAATTGACGCGAATCACTTGTATGATCGCTAATAGCAGATCTATCTCATATGTCACACTCTTACTCATACAATTTGTACGCAGAATCATAAACATTTTCATTATCAATCGAAAACCAGTATATTGAGTTGAATTCAGCTGTTGCAGTAAACAGAAGAAGTAGTGGGTAATGGATCATAACTTTGGACATATTCTAGAATGACTATGTTGAAAAAGAACACATCAACTGAATTCCCTGAATGTTTCAGATATAAATAGCTGTTAATTAGTAGTAAGCATTGAACTAATGTGTGTATTGTATGTTCCACTGACTCTTAATTACACTATAAGTCAAACAGTCTGTAGTGACTTAATCCGTACTCCGTAAACCATTATAATAAAAAACCTAATTATGATGTTTTTTACAATTTTGTCGTTTTATGGTGTAATAACTACAGCGGTTACATATTAACACTGTGTTATTAATCAATCTTCAAGAAAACAAACCAATAAACACGAATTTCCATGAAAGTTTTGAAAGCTAATCCATATCCTATTTTAAAGCTATCAATATTGGAACTGTTTATCCAAAAGTTTATTGAAAGCATATAATTATAGCTGGTTTAGTTTGTACAAGAATTACTTAGGTAGAAATAAAAAATTTCAAACAAAATGCGCTCTAAGTAACCAATCTAAATTATAATCCCAAATAATTAACAGACAACCGAAACAATGTGATAAGAACATCGTGAGATGATCTTAGAAATTCTGATCGGTATGGAGAGCTTTCCTCCCTTATTATTTCATTCAGATGTTTATTGGGTAAAAGGGAATATAACTAGATTTTAAATAATATCAATCCATAAGGACGACGGTGAGATGAACCTAACTTTTTCTATTTATGTATCTACTCTACCTATTTACCTTAAGAAAAGTCCGAATAATAATCTTCACACCAATCTACTTAACACTGGAATCACATTATCCATTAAAAGATAAGACTGAAACAAAATGAATATATTTTCGAGAAATTAGTAGTGAAAATAGAAAAAACAGGAGAAAAAAATTAACACTGAATATAAATTTGAAAGACTCTCCATATATCTGTTATGTCATTGTCGTTTATAATAATAATAAAACGGATCAGTGAACAAAGAGATTAAACATTAAACATAAACTATACGGATATCAATATGATCAGATGATGAATGAGTGAGTGTACGTAAGAAAAGAACACAAGAAATCCATTTATATCACGTATATGTCTGTTTGAAAAATAAGTAACATAATGATAATAATCTACATAGACAAATAATATAATTTACAAATAAACGGTTTATAGATTATCAATTGTTCACATTTCAGATATGCTATTAATATGATATGGATATTTATTCATTTCAATGAAATAATCTTCCAAGTTTAATAAACCATTGATATATTCCTGAAAATAAAAAAAACATAATAATAGAGGAAGAATGAGCACAGTAGTTGATAACTTAGTAGAAAAATAAAAATATTATTATTATTGGTGGTGGTGGTAGTAATTAATGAGATTGTGTTCTATATTATCTCATACCAATATAACTGGGCGCTTTTAAAAGAAAAAGTGGTTGTTAGAGTTGAACCAATTATTATTTTTTTGAAAGACTACTATAAACGGGTGAATAATCTTGAGGTTAGATGGACAGAAGTAATTACATGTGGTATATGGGGTTGTAAAATTAAATTAATTCAAGTTGTTGAAATATGTGTTAAGCACTCCTATGCAGTATCTAATCTGCCATTTTATGCTAATCAGCAGAGAAGTAGGTTAGAAGAGGCTAAATCAAAGCATAATTCCACTCATTTATGACAACATTAGTTCATATGGAGTAGACGAGGAAAAGTTTTTAATTTGTAAGAAACCTTTCGCAGAGCTCAGTGTCATATAAGCTGGGTATTCTGAAATATATCTTTCTGAAAAAAAGGCAGTCAGATTTGATCGAAACTCATCTTTTGTTGCACTGCACAAAATATGTCACAACGGTCTAGAAAAAACTCCGCCTGTAGCTCTTATAGGGTTACTGCCGGTCCCAAGCCCGGGTAAAGGAGGAGGGTTGGGCATGGGGTTAGCGTCCCCATCCCGTAGAAAACTAACTCGCTAAAAAAACGCTTACCAGAAAAAATAATCCAAACCATTTTAACTCTGCCCTGGGAGTTAGAAGGTCTTCATTTAGAAGAATTATGACGCTTCATGGTCAAAGCCGAGTTCCTTCGGAAGCCACGAGGCCGATGCCCCTTCTATCAACCAGAGCAAACAATTTTATAGGTACATGGAACGTTCGAACAATGTGGGAAACCGGGAAGACCAATCAAATAGCAATGAAAATGGGGAGATACAACTTAGCGGTACTGGGAATCAGCGAAACCCACTGGACCCAAGCTGGACAGAAAAGGCTAGCTACGGGAGAGATGCTGCTATACTCCGGTCACGAAGAGGACAATGCTGCACACACTCAGGGAGTCGCTCTTATGCTGTCCAAAGTAGCACGAAATGCACTTGTAGGATGGGAATCTCACGGATCCAGAATCATCAAAGCATCATTCAAAACAAAGAAGGAGGGGATCTTAATGAATATTATCCAATGTTATGCATCCACCAATGATAGCAACGACGACATTCAAGATCAATTCCATGAGAGGCTGCAATCAATCATAGAGAAGAGCCCAGGAAGTGACCTAACCATTCTGATGGGAGATCTAAATGCCAAAGTCGGAATAGGCAACACCGGATATGAAGATATCATGGGACGACATGGACTGGGAGAGAAAAATGAAAATGGGGATAGATTTGCAAAGTTGTGTGCACTCAACAAATCGGTCATAGGAGGTACAATGTTTCCACACAAACGTATACACAAAGCTACTTGTATCTCACCGGATCACACCACAGAGAACCAGATAGATATTTGTATTATTAAAAATTTCCGAAGGACAATGGAAGATGTGAGAACCAGGAGAGGAGCTGACATAGCTTCAGATCACCACCTAGTTGTGGCCAATCTAAAGCTAGAGATAAACAAGCACTGGACAACTGAACCAACAGCACTACAAAGGTTCAATACAGCTTTACTTCGGGATACTAACAAAATCAGCGAATTCAAGATATCTCTCAACAACAGGTCCCAAACCTTACAGGATCTACTGAAGGAAGAAGAAACTAGTATGGAGGACAACTGGAAAGGCATCAAGAAAGCATTAACTTTAACGTGTCAAGAGGTTCTGGGTCTAAAGAAATACCATCATAAGGAATGGATCTCTACAGAAACACTGGACAGGATCAAAGAAAGGAAGAACAAGAAGACAGCAATTAACAACAGCCGAACACGAGCAGAGAAAGTCCAAGCACAAGCTGAATACATAGAAGCAAACAAACAAGTGAAGAGGAGCATTAGAGCCAACAAGAAGAAATACGTGGAAGAACTAGCAACGACGGCAGAAAAAGCTGCTAGAAGAGGAAATATGAAACAGCTTCACGATACAACGAAGAAACTTGCAGGGAAATACAGTAAACCAGAGAGACCGGTCAAAGACAAAGAAGGCAAGCCAATCACCGAAATTCAACAACAGTGGAACAGATGGGTAGAATACTTCGAGGAACACCTGAATAGGCCGGCTCCAATGAATCCACCGGACATCGAAGCGGCACACACAGATCTTTCCATAGACGTCAACCCACCAACGAAGGAAGAAATCAGAATGGCCGTCAGACAAATCAAGAACGGGAAAGCAGCGGGTCCGGACAACATACCAGCTGAAGCACTGAAGTCAGACATCGAAGCAACTACAAACATGCTTCACCTTCTATTCAAAAAGATTTGGGAAGAGGAACAAGTGCCGATGGACTGGAAAGAAGGGCACCTCGTCAAGATTCCAAAGAAAGGAGATCTGAGGAAATGTGAAAACTATAGAGGCATTACACTGCTGTCAATACCAGGGAAGGTCTTCAACAGAGTGTTGCTGAACCGGATGAAAGATGCAGTAGACGCCCAACTTCGAGATCAACAAGCTGGATTCCGTAAGGATCGATCATGCACAGACCAAATTGCAACACTACGGATCATCGTCGAACAATCAGTTGAGTGGAACTCATCACTATACATAAACTTCATTGATTATGAAAAAGCATTCGACAGTGTAGATAGGAGGACATTATGGAAACTTCTTCGACACTATGGAGTTCCTGAGAAGATTGTCAACATTATCCGGAACTCATACGACGGTCTACAGTGCAAAGTAGTGCATGGAGGACAGCTGACAGATGCATTCCAAGCAAGGACCGGAGTCAGACAAGGCTGTTTACTCTCTCCCTTCCTCTTTCTTCTGGTGGTCGACTGGATTATGAAGACCTCGACATCTGAAGGAAAACACGGGATTCAATGGACAGCTCGAAATCAATTCGGCGATTTGGACTTCGCAGATGACATAGCCCTCCTATCACGTACACACGAACAGATGCAGATGAAGACAGCCAGTGTAGCAGCAGTCTCTGCATCAGTAGGCCTCAGTATACACAAAGGGAAAACCAAAGTCCTCAAATTCAAAGCGGAAAACAACAATCCAATCACTCTTGATGGCGAAACTCTGGAAAATGTAGAGTCCTTCACATACCTAGTAAGCATCATCGATGAACAAGGAGGTTCAGATGCAGACGTAAAGGCAAGGATTGGCAAAGAAAGGACAGCATTCCTACAGTTAAAGAACATATGGAACTCAAAACAACTTTCAACCAATATCAAAGTGAGAATCTTCAATACCAACGTCAAGGCAGTTCTACTGTATGGAGCTGAAACTTGCACAACTACTACAACCACAATCAAGTAAGTACAAGTATTTATAAATAGCTGTCTTCGCAAGATACTCAACATGCATTGGCCGGATGCCATCAGCAATAGCCTTCTGTGGGAGAGAACAAACCAACTTCCAGCTGAAGAAGAAATTAGGAAAAGACGATGGAAGTGGATAGGACATACATTACGCAAATCGTCAAACTGCATCACGAGGCAAGCCCTAACTTGGAATCCTGAAGGGAAGCGAAAAAGAGGAAGGCCAAAGAACACATTGCGTCGGATAATAGAAGCAGATATGAAAACGATGAATTACAACTGGACGGAGCTAGAAGGGATTGTCCAGGACAGGGTTGGCTGGAGAATGCTGGTGAGCGGCCTATGCTCCTTCATGAGGAGTAACAGGCGTAAGTCGTTAAGTAAGTCGTCGGTCTAGAAAAACTGAACGCAGATAATTGAAACTGTATTCTCTAAAATCATGACATCCAGCCGTCCATTACCCGTTGAATAATATTTTTAAACGTTTAACAAGATACTCGATGTTCAACTATTTAAACGAAGGTTCAAGTCCCACTTCGAATAATTTGGTTTGGAAAATTAGGTATTATCATTAAGTTTCATTCGAATCTGGAAACACAAAATGTTTGCTTGATAAATTATTTATATCATTGGACTGCAAATCTTATTATTATCATTACTAACATTATTATTAATAATGGCCTTATTCAATATAAAATTTTTGGTACGATATAGAATTCTCTGCACAAAGTATTTCAGCAAGTTTCGTTTTCTTATTTTTTGATCGATCTTTGCGATAAATATTGAGTGGTCGTCAGCTAGAAGTTAGCTATCCAGTCAATCGACATCGAAATAATGTACATTCTTTTCGCTGCATATTACCAACAACCATGATATCTCTGATTGGGCCTTTTGTAACTTGTACAACGAAAGGTTGTACACTTTTTACAAACGCATCTGAATAGGTTATGAGACTAATAGACATAATGATGTGTTAAAACAAACAAGAAAACAAATAACTTGTTGAAATATCCAAATGGCAAGAACAGGTAGTCCAGATATTCAAGCATGCCGCCCTGGAAAATTAACTTTTAGTGAAGAACTTTTGAATTAAATTAATTATATTTTTTATACTTTCTAATGATTTTATTCAAATGAGCTTATGTTACATATAAATAATTTATGTTAAAATTGATCTGAATACCAACTAACTAATGAACTTTCATGATATATTAAATAATGAGAGTTAAATGTATTTAAATTATCATTTACATAAGTTGATATAAACAGTTACGTGATTAAATCGAAAGCTCACACAAATAAGGTGTTGATTTATTCACTACTAGACAGACAGAATAGTGATGTATTTCGTACTTTAGCTCCCTAGTAAGCACAGGATAAATGTTATCATAAGGTGTTGAATTTGAAGTTTCAAATTACAGAGTGACAATGATTAGATAACTACAGGAAAAGAGGAAAAACTGGACAGCTATTTCGTTTTAGTATGGGACTCATCTGTAGTATACATCCACGACTCCAACAGGAATTGCAAACAGGACCTTCACGTCTCGCAGTGAGCGCCTACTTTTCATAAGTTTACCATTTTAAAAGATAACAACAATAACCGAGTAAGACAAATAATAACATAAATAGAAACGTACAGGTGATGGAACTGGAGGTCCAGTCCCGTTTAAACCACCATTACACGGGAGTAGATGGGGAGGGATTGCAGCATGAAGACTTTCTAATGATGTATTGTGCATAACAACCTGTGATTGTGTAATAAATAGTAATCATTAGTCTCGGGATACGAGTAAACAAAGTTAAAAAACAGTGACGAGAAAATGCGTTTTATTTTCTAATTAGTCATAATGTCTAACTCAGACGCGAAACCTGTATACCATACTAGTGAATTCACTAATTTATAAGAACAATTTGATTGGTAAATTCTGTTAGTGTATTGGATACTAATATTAAGAACTGTGTTTGTGTATTAAATGTAAATTGAATTGTTCAAAACTGGCTATTCGGTGATAAACTTATCATGAAGTAGTCAATAAGTCTAATCCCATCACTGTTTATATAAAAATGGTATATCTACAACTGTGAACATACTACAATCGCCACAAATCCCCATACTGATATATTAAATTGTTCTAATTTCTCTTAAACGATGTTCGAATAAAACTAATACAAGGTATGAAATACGACAGTAAATGTAACTGATTTTTGAAAGTTTAAACACTGAATACGCCTCAGTTTGAACTTTTAATTTTGTTCGTTATAAATCTACCACTCATCTCATATCTATGCTCTGTGTTTTATCATTCTACCCTTGATTTACTTATCGCTTAATTTGTTATTTTTCAACATGTTACTTTGTGTCATACTTTATATGAAGGTGCCTAGAGATGTTATTGATGAATTTTGCACGTTCTAGAGTCACAAAAAATGTTTCTTGTAAAAGATTGAGTTTAGTTATATGAACAAATGTAATCTTGTTGTATCAAAGTCCCAATAGACTTTTACCTATCCATAGATAAATTACTCTGCTTTTATCCTACTACTTGTCATTATGATAAACGTAGAGCCTGGAAAAAATGCATATAAGCACAAACTGCCACACCAGATCCGTAATATGAGGTGGAATGAAAAAAATGAATGGAGAAATGATCGAAATAACTGTAAAAACAATGATAATGTGAAAGACTAAACACTGAGAGTATAGTTTGAAAAGACAAGAAAAAAGATATATGAGAAGGGACACTGATAGTAAGATAAACAATGAGTTCATCTTCACCATTGTGACCTATTGTCAACCATATCACTCAATGTCCTGAACTGCTGATTCCGGTTATCGTGTAGTGGACAGCTAGGTAGTCTTCATGTGTTAACACAGCTGAGGTCAAGTCAACAAATACGTGGAGTGATACCAAGTTTCGATTTGTTCACCCTTAGTTTTATTATCATTCTGATAGGCTTGGTTCAAACTTTTCACAAACATCCATCTATTGTCATCTCTATAGCAATTAAGTAAAAGGTTAGAAATTGCTTTAAATCACACAACAATAACTTACCGGCTCAAAACTGAGTACACAAACTTGTACTTTAAAGTAAATTACATCAATATTTTCACTTCTTCAAACTGCATGTCGGTCATTTAAAACCAATAAATATTGAATGCTAATCAAATTGATTTTAATTTTGCTTGCACAATTTCTTTGACTCAGTTTGTACTTTTAAGTCAACTAAACTATATGAGTTTGTGGCAGTATCGAACACTGTTAAAAGTAGTTGTTACTGTCGTGTTCCGTAAATTTTATATCAGAGATGAAAGTAAGTAAAAATTCTTATTGAGATAACGATGTTTTATTGATCAGTATTTACTAAAGTGTGTTGACAAATGAAATGTATAATTGTTGGAAGAAGCCATCAGATACCGCTCTGGTCTAGAGTATGACATTAGATATTTTCTTTAAATTCACTAATCTATCGCAATAAACATTTCACTTAGTATAAATCATTTATCTTCGTAAAGTCATTAGACCTCCCAATATTGATAATACTAATAATAGTTTAGGAAAATCCCAGTTTCACTAAGGTATAACTCACAAATATGTGAGTCGCCTTCCAGGCTCCATGTACAGATTAGCTTCATATAACAAATACCAAACAGACTTTTTACATAAATTATTATTTCCGTAAGTACAATGAAAGTTAGAAACTAAAAAAATGTTGATTAGGGTCGGTTTTTCCTGGTATAAGATGAAGTGTGTATAATTGACAATCATAATAAGAAACACTTTTCCAGAAACAATCAATCGTGAAATGACAGTTAATAATGTAAAATTTAAGTCTTAAATTCAGATCAGCAATAGTGTGGTTAATAATTTGAACGCTTTCTTTTCATTATAATAATTAGATTATTTATAATAGATAGACAAACAAAGTTTGAATAGCACTAAGATATTTTGTGTATAGATTCAGGTACTGGCTAGCTACCAATTAACAGACCTTTATAGACATTGAGAGAGAATTCATGCCAACTGATTGAATAGTCTGATTTTAATTTGGTTCTTTAAAGATGAACAAATGTTATTAACATGATACGATTGTTACAAATATTTCCGAATATCATTTCTAAATTCAAAAATCTCACGTAATAATGATAAACTGTAATTACAAATAACTATGCTTATAATAATCCTTTACATTGAATATTGAATCAAACAGAGTCAGTTGATTGATGATCAAATTTTTCATTGAACAATATACTACTTAACTGTTATTAATATTCATAAAATTCGCTATGTCAATCAAACTTCATGCAATCAACTTTAAATTATAATTTATGTGTAAAAAGCTGACGATATTAATCGGGTATTAAAATCAAAGTCAGTAAAGTGAAGTTTAAACCTTTGATCATACTGACAAAAAGGCTAATTGAACTTAGCAACTAGTCATCAACTGTTTGCGGTGTATGAAAAACTCTGTATTGTGTTTCTCGGCAGTGATAAACAGAAGATGTATTCTGAGAAAGTACATAGTAAAATAATGGATTTTTAAAAAAAAACATACTGCGAAACATTTTCATTTTTAAAATATACAAGAATAACTATTGTGAAGACAATGATTGTACACACAATAGTGAAAATGATTTATAAGCTGAAACGTGTATTTAATAACCAGAAGCTACATCGAAATTATTATAACCATAGATAGATAAATAGATTACAGAGTATTACTTAGTATCATTTTCTTAAAATACTGTCCATATTGTTTACTATAACTTAGATACACGATAATCGTAAAAATTCAAAGCACTTGAATGCGACAGAACTATTATGTGTATAATTAGGTATTGCAGATTGAAAAATTATTGGCCAATATAGAAATATAACGGTTAGTGATAGGGTGACAGCCAAAGTTCGATACGACTTCGTTTACAATTGTTAAGTTTCATACCACAAGACATTAACGACAAAATAGAACAAATATAATTGATAATAACGTTCATAGTGATAATAGACAGTACGTAAGGTTCAAAAAGAAAGAGGCAAGTTACCTAACATCTTCAACTTAAAATTATCTTGTGAGTCTAAAATTCCCAATGTAAATTAATCAATAACATCATTAGATGATGTCTTATATTCGGGCCACATCCAAACTCCAATCCGTTTCCATGCTCTTTATCACTAAACCTTCGAGTAGAAGGTAAGAGGATAAGGATTAATAAGAAAGAACACTTTTTGAAGAAGACGCTTGGTCACTTATCCACGGAAGCCTGTGTTAGGAAGTGTACTATTTCCCAATACGTTCCACCAGTTTTAGAAATAGTAATCTGAATTTCTAAATCCTGTGAGTATAGCTGAATTTAGCTGTATGAAATTGAAATTATCAGTAGTTATTCTTCGAGAAAAACCTTAAAAAATTGTAAATGCCCCTAATGTTTTCCATATTTCACCGCTGGTTGGAGTAAAACTGAAACGTCTGGTTTTATTTTTACTCTCAACATTTAGTAGCTAAATCAAGAGTCATTGGGAGTGTAGTTTGAATTCAAAATACATATATATATAAACTTACACGTGCTTGATTTTTCGGTTTTAACAAAGGTATTAATGTTGAATATATTTTAGAAAACATATAAGGACTATTGAAAATATGGACAGCTTTTACTCGTACAGGACTTGAACCTTGTAAAAAATGTACTGCTCGATGTAGAAACCAAGGAGACATTAAATTAATGGCATGTCTCCAGGAAAAGCCTGATAGGTCCACTAGAATTATTACTCCATGCACTTGTACAGCTGGCCAAGACTAAACAGAAGACAAGATAGATGAAATGATATATAGACATGTAACATAAAATGTATAAAAATAAAGATGATATGTTTTCTTACAAATTAAGATGATTAATTATTGAAAAATGAAATACTCCCGAAAAATCCAACCGGAATCAGTTGATAAAGAAGTTCTTGAAGTCATTTTTTCGGAACTTTTTAACTGTACACTTGAACTTCAAAACTAATTGGCGCTGAACTCGTATCTTAAGTATGCTTCAGTATTTTCTATAAATATCCACATTGTATCATAGTCGATTTGAACTGTGATAAACTTCAGTGATTTTTCTTTGTCATTTCTAGTGTTTTAAAAGGGTTAGGATTAATTTATTAGAATCATAGATATATCTATTGTATTTCTTGTACTTTTCGACCGTAGCTGCGACCTTGACGTGATAGTCAGGCATGTCTGCCGTGATGACTCGACCGAGTTATATCGGCTAAAACACATGTTCCTTTACGTACTACTATGCAAGGAAGGTTGGCTGGAGAATGATCAGACTAAAAGCAGCAACTTAAAGCCCGAGGGCGAAGTTATGTTACTGACCGTAGAGGAGTGTAACATCAGTAAGGTCTTTCTCCTGGACTACTAGCATCCGCGGCGATACTACCTTCGCCCAACGGAAGAGTAAGAAAAGGTCGACCGTAAAAGTTTCACACCTCAACCTAACCTACAGATTTCCCTCTCCGGTAGTAAGGCATTCAGAAGTGTGGAAATAACTCGTCAAACACTTCCCATAAAAAAGCCTTGCGCGACCGGCCTCCTTTGGGCTCTGTGGTCACGCTCCCATGTCGTCAAGCGCACCACTAATTTGGCTTTCTTTTCAAGTCTCTTAAGAAGAAATATCCCTCCATGGTATGAGCAACTGGGAAGAGACGACCTACCACATACCTATATCAACACCCGAGATCATCTTGTTGACAGTAGAATCCCTTCCTCACTTCTTATTAATTCTTCTATACACATGACCAACCACTCTCATTTATATTTATCACCACGTCCCATCAATTCTAATGATTTGAGTTCACGAAATGTTATTCCTGTTCTCTTGAAACCGCGCTCCAAATTACATGTTGGAGTCTTTAATGTTTAAATTTTGCGTAAGATAGGACAACAGGCTTCGTTATCTAGCAGTCTAGAATCTAGAGCCACCGATGTATGCTGCCTCTCCGAAATGCGCATACAGGATCCAAGTACGGCCATTCATTTGGCTTCACATTGTCAATATAAAGAACCGACACGATTTACCCTTTGATTATCTGCAGATCACACTGCTAATTTCTGTGACCTCACTGGTGTAGGTATAGCATTAAGTTCTACATCAGAACAGGCACTCCTAGACTGGATCCCAATGGGCAGTAGTAGGTGATTTTAATGCTCAAGTAGGTAAACTAAACTAAACTGAAAAGAACTTAGGCGGATTTTTTACGGTGTTGCAGCCCAGCGAACAGATAACGACGACCGTCTGTTGCAACTACGCTCAGATAACCGTCCATTTATGTCAACGACCAGCTTCAAACATCAAGGGAAACATTTTCTGACGTCACGACGCCCACAATAGACCCATCGATGGACTAATATAGATCACATTGCCACTAGCTATCGTTGGAGGGATTCTATTGAAGACACGCTCATTCTAGAGCACAAGTTTAGACTCGGATCATGCGCTAGTTTGAACACGCATTTGTCTGAGTGTTACTGGATGTAGAATAGCCACATTAAGAAAACCTGAGAGTCTTAGTCAACCGCCAAAATGATATCTACCCCGAGGTACCTTGGTAGGGTATCCAAAAAGCTGTGAAAACAGCAGTGATATCTACTTGTAACTTAAACCAAGAAGGGTTAGGAAAAGAACGCTGGATCTCAGTGGCGTCGACAGAACTGATAGATGATAGAAAACTCATCTCATCTGGCTTTGAACTCAATGGTATTCAGAGGAAGCCTGAAGATAGGCTGATCAAAAGCCGATGTAATGATCGTGAGCAGCGGTGGGTAGAGAAAGCAGAAGAGATGCGAAAAAGCAGCAGCGATAGGTAACGTTAAACAACTGTTCAGAATGTCGGGGAAACGCGTATTAAAACTTCATCTGTTAATGAAAATATCTCGCAAAAGAAGGCATCATTATTCACTCTCAATCCAGAAGATCGAACTGAAGGACTAAACACCTTGGGGAACAGTTCGACTGGCGTTTAGTCACACTTCAGTTACCCACTATCTCAAAGCAACCTGAATGGGAAGCTGATGTAAGTCCTTCAACACTGAGCGAGCACGAAAAGGTTATAAGTAATCTAAAGCGAGGAAGAACAGTAGGGTCTGGTGTACTAACCTCTGATATTTTTCAGTCAGTCAGTCAGTAACAACGTAGAACTTCGTACGTACGTACATCAGTTCGAGTTGCCACACCACCTTAACACAGAGATGCAGTTGTCGACTCAAATCCCGTAGTCGTAGAGGTAATAAGAGTATAATCAGTAATCGGAAAGATTAGGGTTTGGAGATGTTATTTAAAGAGTATAATTCAGTTAAATAAATTTGGAAAGAGGAAAAAAGGGACATGAAGAATTCAGAAGATTAGAATTTGGGAGAACACAAAGAGTGGATGCACCTGCGCCATTGCAAACGATTTTGAGCCATGTCGTTCAGGGTCTCTAACCATCGGTTGCTATCGTCTCGCGGTCCCCAACCAGGTAGTCTACACTTATCAACATGACTCAGACCACTTGTCAGTGACTTCATGGACTTGTGCCACGTTTTGGTCTGACCGCCCCTAGCTTTCTTCCAACCTACTCCTATACCACTGAACATCGCACGTCGAGGCAGTCGGTCGTTGGGCATACGTAACACGTGTCCCAGCCATCTCAACTGATGAAGTTTCACTACTTCATCAATTGATTTGCAATCCTTACCTAGTACCCGTTTCCTAACAACTGCATTACTTACTCGATGGTCCCATGATATACGAGCAATGTTTCGAAGACACCTATGATCGAATACTAGTAACCTACGAATATCCTCTACTCTTACCGGCCATGTTTCACAGCCATAAAGTAGGACGGCACGTACTGCTGCGCAGTAAACCCGTCCTTTGGTTGACAGACGGATATCTCGCCTACGCCATAAATGACGCAAGTTGGCAAAAGCTAGTCGAGCCTTCTGTATCCGTGCTGAAATTTCGTCACACACCAGACCACAAGGGCTGATGTGACTTCCAAGATATGTAAAGCGGTCGACACACTCAACTACTTCACTCCCTATCACTAGTTCGGGTCTCGATGTAACCCAATCCTGAAGCAACATTTTGCATTTCGAGGGAGAGAATCGCATCCCGAACATGCTTGCATTGTTGCTTAGAGTGGTCAGAAGACTCTGCATTTTGTCAGCGTCTTCACCAAATAAAACTATGTCATCAGCATATTCTAAGTCAACAAGTGAACCTCCCGGTAGAAGTTCAACCCCTGGAAATTTAGATGAGGAGAGTGTTATCTCTAAAAGTACGTCGACCACAAAGTTGAACAAGAATGGAGAGAGCGAACAGCCCTGACGAACACCACTTGATGTAATCAATTCTGATGACAGTTCGCCATAAACTCTCACTCTACCAGTTGTGTTCGAGTAGAGAACTTTTATAAGTTAATGTACTTCTTTGGTACTCCTTTCAGTGACAAACACTGCCATAGAACCTTACGATCAACAGAGTCGAATGCCGCCTTAAGGTCGAGAAATACTGCCATTGTGGGGCGTCTAAACGTGTGTCTGTGTTCTAGAACCTGACGTAGTGTGAATATTTGGTCTATACAACCACGTCCAGGTCGAAAACCAGCCTGATTTTCTATAGTCTGTTCTTCACGAGCTTTGGTTAGGCGTCGAAGTATTATTGAAGCTAATATTTTAGACACTATATTAGTCAAACTGATTCCTCTGTGATTGTCACAAGAGGACTTTTGTCCTTTCTTATAGACTGGCACAATCAGTGATTGAGACCAGTCAGATGGGATTACGTCCAGTTCCCAAATTCTACCTAAGACCTCGGTTAATCTCATTGCTAATACTGGACCACCATCCTTAAAAATCTCAGGAGTAAACCTGTCAGGGCCTGCTGCTCTCCCTCGTTTCAGATTTCCTATGGCTTTTTCAACTTCGTAAAGAGACGGAGGACCTACATTAACTTGCCATTCAGGTTGACTGGGGATCGTGGGAAACCGAAGTGTGGCTGAAGGCCAGTTGAACTGATCCCTGAAGTGTTCTGCCCATCGATCCAATCTCCTGGATTGAGAATGAATAATATGTCCATCTTTCTCTGCGATTGTTTCGCTAACGGTCGGGTTCCTAATTCCGGTTTCCTTAACGAGTCTGAACAATTGTCTGCTATTACCTATTGCCGCTGCCTTCTCCATCTCTCTTGCTTTCGCTACCCACCACTGTTCGCGATCGTTGCGTAGACTTCTTGTCAGCTTGCGCTTAAGCTGACTCCGCTCTTCACAATGTTCAGAGCCAGGTGGAATGAGTTTCCGAGCATCTATCAGTACGATAGATGCTGTTGAGATCCAGTGTTGCTCCCTAACCTTCTGGTCTACCTTACTCGCAGATATCACTGCTGTTTCCACAGCTTTTCGGATATCATTCCATGCTGCCTCGGGGTGGGCATCACATACATGGCTGCCTAACTGTTTTCCTAGTTGTTCCTGAAATATACTCTTAGCTTGACTACCATTAAGTAGGGCCCTAAGAGGTTTACTTGCAGCGTCTTTCCTACATCCAGTAAGACGCAAGCAAATACGCGCTCGCACTAGAGCATGATCTGAATCTAAGCATGTGCTCCAGAATGAGCGACAGTCTTCTATCGAGCCCCTCCATCGGTGCCTGATGGCGATGTGATCTATTTGGGTCCAACGTTGGGACGAATTAGGGGGTCGCCATGTTAAAAGATGTTTTTCCTTATGCTTAAAGTTAGTATTTGCAAGGAACAGGCGATTATCTGAGCATAGCTGCAACAGACGGTCGCCATTATCTGTTCTTTGAGCCACGACACCATAAGATCCACCTAGGTGTCTTTCCCTATCGCTTAGTTTACCTACTTGAGCATTAAAGTCACCGGCCACTATTACTACATCATAGCGCCTAGCTTTTCGGAGAAGGTCCGAAAGCTTTCTGTAAAACTCATCTTTTACATCATCTGAGCTGCAGTCAGTGGGAGAATAGGCAGAAACGACGAAGAGGCAACGACGGGTGTCCCTATCTTTCCGGATTCTTACTGTTCCGTTCAGTCGGACAGCGCACAAACGGCTGTCTACTGGGATCCACTCTAAGAGAGCTAATTCTGCTCTAAAGTCCTAGCTAAGGAAGCCTGCTGTCCTATTTGGCAGAGTGTTCGGACGTTAAAAGCTCCTACGTGTAGTTTAGAGCGTGGTTTCAGGAGACCAGGAATCGAGTTCCACGTACTCGAATCGTTTGCCCTAGCGGTGCGATGTGATAAAGAGACGTGAGGAGGGTTAGTCATGGAGATAAGAGAGGTATTAGGAGATGTAGGAAGGATTTGAATGTGACCAACTTGGTCTCGCGTGCTGTTACGGGTATGAGGGCTGATGTCACTTCCCGGCTGCCCACACCGTGGAAGGGTATTTCTTGAGGAACCTGAAGAGGAAATTGGATTAGTGTTGGTCTTGACGACCTGGGAGCGTGACCGCAGAGCCCAAGGGACAACTGCTTGAGGCCGGTCGCGCACGGCCTTTTTGTGGAAGGATTTTGACGTGTTAGCTCCGTTCTGCAAAGGGCCTTACTGCCGGAGACGGAAGTCCGTGAGGTAAGGTGAGGTGTGACATTTTTAGGGTCGACCTTTTCTAACCCCACCCCTCCTTGTGGGAAGGCAGCATCGCTGTCATGCTGGTTGTCTGAAGGAAACACCTTACTGCTGTCACACCTCTCTACAGTCAGCAGTACGACTTCGCCCTCAGACCTTGAGTTGCTGCTTTTAGTCTTACCGTTCACCAATCGACCTGCCTGGCATGGTAGAACCTACAGGAACATATGTTCCGGCTAATATAGCTCGGTTGGGTCATCACGATAGGCAAGCCCGACCACCGCGTCAAGGTAGCAGCTTCGGTCGGGTCTGATATTTTTTTTAAAGGATGGCGATCCATTTTTAGCGGCTAGATTAACTAAAACCTTATCTACAATCTGAGAACTAGACGTAGTCCCATCTGACTGGTCTCAATCGCTGATCGTTCCACTTTATGAGCAAAGACAAAAATCCTATTGCGACAATTACAGAGAAATGAGCTTAACTAGTATAGTGTCTAGAATATTGGCCCCAATAGCACTTCGACATTTAACTGGAGCTCATGGAGAGCAAATCTGAGAAAACCAGATTGGTTCCAGACCTGGACGTCGATGTATAAATACGATATCCACCCTTCGGCAGATCATGGAACATAAAAATATTTTCCGAAGCCGTACTATAGTTGTATTTATTGACCTCAAGTCAGTATTCGACTCTGTTGATCGCGAGGCTCTATGTAGCGTCTGTTTTGAAAGTTGTACCAAAGAAGTACATTGACCTTGCACAGGATCTCTACTCGAACACTTCTGGTTAAGTCAGAGCTAATGGTGAAATGTCGGAATCGGTCACTTCAAGTGGCGTTCGACTGGGTTGTTCTTTTTCTCTATTGTTATTTAACTTTGTCATAAACATTCTTTTGGCGGCAATACTGATCGTGTGACTTTCTAGTAGTTGATTTTCTACCGGGAGATTCACTCGCTGACTTAGAATTCTCAGACGATGTAGTTCTGTTTGCTGAAGAGGTTGACAAGATGCAGTCTTTTGACCACCCTAAGCAACAAAGCAAACATGTTCGGATGCGGTTCTCTCCCTCCAAATGGAAAATGTTACTTCGGGATTCGCCTGCGTCATCACCTGAATTAGCGATAGGATGTGAAGTAGTTGAACGCGTCGACCGCCTCGCCTATCTTGGGAGTCCCATCATTCCTGATGGTCTGATGCCTAACATAATCTTAGCACAAATTCAGGAGGCTCGATCGGCTTTTGCCAACTTGCTCCTCTTGTGGAGAAGGTGAAATATCCTTCCGTCAAGCTAAAGAACGAGTTCACTGCATAGCAATTTGTTGTGTTCTACTTTATGAATGTGAGACATGGCCATTAAAAGAGGATATTTGTAGGTTACTAGTATTCGATTATAGGTCTTTAAGAAGCACTGTTCGTGAAATCTCGAACCGTGGAGTAAGCAATACTTGAGTTAGGAAATAGAGTAATAGGTAAAGATTGTAAATCGATTGATGAGGTAGTAAATTTTCATCAACTGAGGTGGTTAGGACATATGTTACGTATGTCCGACCACCGCTATTCTCAAAGCGCGATGTTTTATGGAGCAGAAGTAGTCTGAAAGAAAGCTAGGGACGGCCAAACCACCAGCCCATGAAGTCACTAAAAGTTCGATTTAGCCAAGTTAACAGATATTGACTGCTTGGTTGGGGTCCTTGTGATTATCGTAAGCAATGGTTAGAGACTTTGAATGACATGGCTTGAAATCGTTTGCAATGATGCGAGTGCATCTGTTCATAGTCTTCCCCCAAACCATGGGATTCCAAATTCTTCACAACTTGTTTTTGTTTTTATTGCATTGATTTATATTTTGTTCTCGAATCTTACCTTTGATGCTTAATCTTTCCTATTAGATTTAATACTGTTACTACACCTGTTATTCTGGGATTTGGCTTGATAACATCTCTCTGTGCTAGTGAGGCAACTTGAACCGATGTACATATGTACGTTGTGACTAACTGACTGACTGTTTCTTTTACTTTATCATGCCTGATTACCAAATTATGTAAAAAAGCCAGTACGCGATACCTAGTAACCTATATATACATATTGCAGCAAAATCGAAAAAACGATATATATACCTAACTGTCATCAACAGTATTAGTTGATATTAACCGGTCAGTATCTTTTGTAACTAGCGTAAGCAGCAATTATATTTATTGTTGGTGGAGTTTTGCTCATTGGGCTCAATGGTTTGGTCGTGATAAGGACAAGTCGAAAGTTAGTAATAACTAATCAAGATCAAGATGAACAGAACAAGTTGTGAGTCATATGTGGAGAAATTTGAATACTTAATTTCTGCCTGAAGTTTTTGCTAATGATATTGTTCAGAAGAACAATGAAAGCTCCATGACCAAACCATCCAGCTCCAAGAACGAAACTTCATCAAAATCATCCACGTGAGCTACGAATTTCCGTCACCATTTTAAACAGGGACCATAATTGATGAAACTTTTGCAGGCGACTAAAGTGTTTTTGATACATTCAATCAAAGAGATTAAGTGTATGACCATTTATCCACGTGGTTACAAAGTATTCCACCATTCTATTCTAAACCATTAATCTTAATTTCTGACTGAAACTTCTAATCCTAAAGTTAGTGGCTTTTGGGTTTTAATGCAGGGAATTATTCATTCATATCAACAGTATTATGAATGACTACATACTGGATTTTCCTTCGCAAGGTCATTCAACAATTGCTGAAGATCATCAGTAAAGTATACTGTCATCAAAAACACACCTTATTTTCCAATAAAAGGCACCATCAACAGAGGATTAGTAAGCGAAACACACATAACTAGTTAATTAACCAACACAGTAGTTAAATGTTGGTTGGAATGATCAGTAACAAATTACGAAGACGTATTACGCAACAATACAACAAATTGTATGCATGAGGTCAAGAAAGTAAAAATAAATCATACAACATTATTGTGAGTAAATGATAAAGTAAATTTGTTTTAATATGCTAAATAAAACTGAGCAAGAAATCAGTACTTAACTATGGTTCAAGGGAAATAATACTAGGAAGGACAAACCAATAGAAACATAAGCAGAGTGTTAGACAGGATAGATTTTGAATTTTAATTTAATTCTGATCGATGTTACATTTGATTTAGATGCATCAAACTACATATTTGTGTAACCGAGATTAGGTTATATGGTTTAGTGTGAAAACCAGTGGATACTTGTTCTGCTGGGCAAGTCAAAATAAGTGAAGCTGTAGTCTTATCTGAGATGCTGGCCATGATTGGTTGCTGTTAATGATTGTGCCTCAGCCGTCTGTGTATATAAATATTATGATTACCTTCTCATTACTATAAGGGGATTATGGAGATTGAATATTTCACAGTTCACATATAAGACTGGTTTTATCCGGATAAATTAGACCTTTCATTAGTGATACACTGACGAATAGTTAGCCCAAAGACATTATGAGCTTAACGTGGCAATGTACAGAGAATTGTATGTATATACCTCTAAATAGGAGAATGTATAAATAATTACTACAGGTGATTAAATGTAAAATACTAAACTATAATAATATCGCAGACTTACCAATAATAATTCTTCAATGACAAGTACATTAGCACGAAATATATCGTTTGTTGACCATTCTGCAGGGTTCCATAGACCTGGTCTAAAGTAGATAAGTGCTCTACCTTCTGAATCTGGTTGAGGCAATCGACATACAACTCCACTTTGAAATACGTGTTCAACTAATGATGGTCTTAAATCATTGAATATATCTGGATAGCGTAATCTTAATATGTAATAATTTGTATACAGTCTGAATGCATTATCCTGATTAAATTTTTTAGCACGTAGAAAACGTAGGAGAAATTCATCAGCCAGACATCCTTGTAAACCTAATGAAAAAAGACATCAAAAAGTATGGCTTCATCGCATTGCGTGATACTCCTAGTTCCTTTGCCATCAAAAATAAAAAATTTCTTTTTATATTCCTCAGTCACTACCACACTAGTTAATCTGATAGTGAAATTCGTAGTATACTGCTGCTATAGAGAGCCAACCAGAAGTAGCCTGATGAGAACGTCAATCGTCCACTGGTTAAGAAATGGCTTGGTTTCCTAGGGGGTAGAGCTATATATATATATATAGCCCAACATGCTTTCTCATCTACTCTTGTGTTCTCGCTCAAGTAGTCTGGTGGGTGTTAGCACATAGCACACCGTGTATCAGTATCAGATTTCGGACACCAACTGTCACAACGGTGATTTTATTGAAAACGGTTGACTAGATCAACAATTATTACTTTAAAACATATTGGGCATCTGGAAGTAGTCGAAAGGCTACTCTGAATTCAGGTTTCGTGATAGTTGTTATTCGTCAGTAAGGCGTGACTGTAATTTTGAGAGAACTGGTGCTACATATGGCAGCCAAACTAGTGTCAGCCTAATGAACGGTCTAAGATACTACAGCTGAAGCTTTTCGGGCAGTAACTGACATTCTGGAGGATTGACATATTTATAATGATTGAACCCTATTTAGTGCCAAATATGGAAGTGGTCACTATTAATTGATTATTAACTAGCTGCCAATACACTAACAATTCTCTTGGGAGTAAGAAGAAAAGTAAATGTTAAAAGAATAAACCAGAACGAGGAAAGCGTTTTTTTTACTATTGCTGAAATGAAGGAACTTCAGCGAAAAAACTTAAATTCGAAATTGTAAACAATGAACAGCAAAAACATATCCAACAAAATCAATAGTACATACTGTCTATCTTAGTCGTAACCTTTTTGGTAATCCAATATCCAGGCGATAATCCCTTAAAATACTTTAACCAGGCGGAATCAAGTCAAACGAAAGAGCGCATTAAATATTACCAGGGGACTACCATTAAAAAGATTAATATAAATTCCAGTTAAGCAATAACATCACAAAAACAATGACCAAGCCTCCTTCTCCACAATCATAATCATCATATAACAAGCAAACGTAAATGTTCAATAAATTCTATGAAAAACACCAAACTGACAGATAAAACCGATTTACTTTGTAACTGAATACGATGTCTTAACTCAGTAATGGCATTCTGTCGTTGTTGCGGTTGTTCGTTTAATTCTAAAAACGCTTTTTCCAATGTTTGAGGGGATAATTCTATCACATTCAAATTTGAACCCATCGTTTAATGAGCATGAGGAAATACATAATCATTAAGTTAAATCTAACCGTTTCTAAAAAACCCTGAAGCAAAGAAAACTCAATGAGAAAAGTTATTGACAAAAGCAGCGTTATCTTTATTAACTAATATAGATCGCATAAACCTTACGACTGGAAACAACAAGAGATCCATAAGAAGCACTATAGATCAACGTCTTGTAAACATATGTCAGTCAACCAAAAGACTAAGGGTTCAAAATCATCTACAAACTAAACAGAAACTTATTAAAGACGACGACCTTCCGTTTCTAGCATTTACAAAGCCTTCGTCATACATCTAAAAAACCAGAACTGTGTCCACAAAAGAAACTTGTTGAGCCTCTTCTGTTTTTAACTATACAAATCAATTACCCACATTTCCTCTCATTCTCTATGGACCTGCCATTTCAAGCCGACTGATCTCTGTTTCTATGTTCTTTCTAATTATAACTCATTTCAAATTCAACATTTAAAATAACCATGATACACAACCCCTTTACCGCAATTTTTGATTTTATCTAACTCCTGTGATATTCTGATGAATACTGAAGGCCTTGAAAATTATGTTTTCAGTTTCTCAACAGGTGAAAAATTTTCAAACGATTATTTATTTTGGTCATTTGTCACTGTCCAGCGAATTATTGTCATTATCAACAGAAACACTAGTGACAATATTAGTGAGGAAAAGAGTATATATCTGCAATTTTACAACCCCGATGATGAATTCTCCGAAAATAAAACTCTTTATTGAGCTTCATCTTCTTGTTATAATCTGATTACTAATTGATCAAAAGTAATCAGAATGCAACTTTATGTTCATTGATATGCTAATTAAAAAAAAACTTCATAAAAAGTACACAATCTTTTCAAATAACAGCGTATAGGAAGAAAAATCCACATTGAGTTACCCTAATCGGGAATAATTTCACAAACATATTTGTCTGAATTTTCGTATTTGGAGAACATCGAAGTCTTGTTATAAGGTAGTATAACTATTTTCAAACAAGAGTCTTGATGAACCAACAGGCAATAATGCACAAAGTTATCTTATATTCTATGGGAAACTTTTGTCAAGTTATCTATTTTTCTACTTATTTTCCATATCACCAAGTAATGATTAGCATGAACGTAGATGGAACATCATATGTAAACAGTCAGTCGTAACGTCGAATGAGGTACAAATGTGAATCGGCCCGACTTATAACAAGTGCCCTGGTACGGCTGAGAGTGGGGAGAGTCAGCTCTCTCTTTTCAAATGCTCTCATATCGCCTACTATAAATTAACTAGTACTATAATCTGTCTGTTTGGTAAGTATGGGGTATTAAATATATATAGCAAGTCAGTTGATGGAATAGTGAATCATTATCAAGCAAGCTGGTTAGGAAATGTATGACGTAAGCTAGATCGCCTCCTACCTTAACGGGTGATGTTGTCCTGTGCAGCAGTAAACTAAAAGTGGTGCGAAAAACAAAATATGATATTTATCTATGGAATCATTAGTAAATCAAGTGATTCATCCCGGTAGATACAGACTTTCTGGCTACATTTCGAGCAATTGCTCTAATCAATGTTAAGGGACCTTGGGTGAGAAAGGTCAGCATCGAGTCCGATGGCAAAGGTGAATCAAACCTTCATCTTCCCTTGGATTCTGATTCTTGAAATCTCTTTATATCTGTTTTTACTAATTTTTGACCTAATGTTTCCCACTAAAACTGACCATATTTAAACTTCTAATACTCTGGGGTTTGTCTTAATAATCCTACCTCGCTATGTTAATGTGTTGTGGCAATACGAACAAATACACGTGTTGAGTCCTACGTCGCATATGACTGACTGATTACTGGATCCCGAAAGCGTAGGGTAACCACGTAAACACTCATGAAAAATGGACTCCTCCGAACAAATTCAACCACCAACATATATGTTCGAACCGATTGTCACCTACTTTTAGTACGGCAATCTGGTAGTATCAATAGTATTCATGCTAAATATGTTGATTATAGCCGTATTACTTTTAACTGCCGAGTTACAGTAGCGAAATGAATGTTAAGGATTGTATAGTGTTGGCAGCCTATAAAGTTCAAACTAAAATAAGTCGAATATGTTAGTGTTTAAAAATTTACAAGAGCTTCAGCCATAAATGAGATGAAATAAATAAATATCCGACTCGAAGTGTATCAATAGGAAACGCCTAGAGTCTTGATAAAACTAACTTTTATTCTGAGGTTCTAATAGAATATTTCTCTATAGAATCTGTCTCCAGACATATAAAATCAGTCAGGTTTATCTATCAAACGTTTTAAAAGCCTAGTCTTATTTATTTCAATCATAATACATTAACTGAAATAAAGATGAAAACCAAAGCCCCATTTACATTTTGGAACATAAAATTTCCAATAACAAGAAATGGTGGGGTAATTTTCTAGTCTAGTTTGAAAGCTAATAAATTACAAACAGTAGTAACTGACTAGTTAGTACAAGTTATCCCACCTAAGGAACATAAAGTCAAGCACGGAAAATAGTAAATTACTGAATTCCGAAAAAACAGAGTATAAAGGTGTATACGTTAATCACAAAGAGGTAGCATTTACGGCCTGGCGCTCATTTCGCCGATTCAAGTATTTCATTTGTATACTACCAACATACATAATTGATGACATACAGGAATTAATGCGTAATGCTCTGGGTAACGCATCACCGTAAATATATGGCACAATTAAGCATCTCATGACTCTTAATACAAGCAGGCAGTTAAAAATGTCTTAAGTCGTGTAAAAAAGGTCATCTCAAGTAACATATCGAAAAGTTTTCGGATAGTCAGGTCTTGGAAGCGGATGCTACCAAGGCCTGTGTGGATAGGCTGTTTTACTTAGGAGTTTTATATGCCAATGCACGTAGTCTACGAGATAAGTTCTATGAACTAGAAGCACTAGTGAACAGGTTAAAGCCACTCATAGTGGCGGTGACAGAAACGTCACCGTTCATACCATACCTGGTACCGCGAAGACTGAATAACAGTCCACCATGGATAACTAAAACGGTCAGGAAACTCCTTAGGAAAAGGAAGAATCACTGGAATATGTTCATCTCTGCTGGCTTAGAACAATACAGATCCAGTTATTGTAAGATTGGGAATGCCTGTAAAGCGTTAATAAGCAAGACTAGACTATCATACGAAAAACAACTGGTTAGGGATTTTAGATATAGTCCGAAACGGTTATTCTCGTATATAAAAAGGCGAACTAAGAGAAGCGGTGGAATTCCATCACTTTTGATACGAGATAATCCGTTAATCCTAACAGAGAATGATGCCGAAAAAGCTGAAGCTTTATCGGAATATTTTAGTATAGTGTTTTCTATCGTTAATGTTTATTTTATTTATTTATTTGAACACATAAATATTGGTACAAGAGAGCGCCAATATATATGCGCCACACAAAACAATGAAAATTCGAAGAGAGATAAAAAAAAACCAAGGAGCACAAAGGAAAAAGAGAACGATAACGAAGAGATTGGTGTAAGGTAGTAACGAGGGAACGGAAAGGTACAATCAGAAGAAATTTTTCAAGTAAGGGAGACACAACCACTTTTTATGAAGAAAGTAAAAGAAGGTTACAGCAGGATCGCCACTGGCTTCTATTCTGAGCCATATCTGATAACGTCTCTAGCCACTGTGTAGCACCATCTCTCAGACCCCAACCAGGGAGTCGTGAAGGACCGACAGAAGCCAGTCCTTTGCAGCTTTCTTTCATACCACGACACCATGTCATGCACTGACCACCTCTCCGCTTTTTCCAACCAGTCCCAGAGTCGGCAAATAATGCACGACGTGGAATTCTCTGGGACGACATTCGTAGAACATGTCCAAGCCACCGAAGTCGGTCTTTCAAGATGGTGACACCAATTGAATTATCATCTCTGTGCCCAAACACACGATGTCGAACCTCTGCATTACTAACATGGTGTTGCCACTGGATGTCAGCAATCCTTCGTAGACAACGATGATCAAACACAGAAAGTCGTCTAACGTCCTCAACTCGGAGAGGCCAGGTTTCACAAGCATAGATCAGGACTGCTCTCACCGACGCGTTGTAAATCCGACCTTTTACAGCCAGACTAACATCACGAAGGCCCCAAAGGTGGCCCAGATTGGCATAAGCCGCTCTGGCTTTCACTATACGTGCATTGATTTCATCATTCACACTCCCACCAGCACTTATGCAGCTACCCAGATACACGAACTTCTCGACTACGTCTATCTGCTCACCATCCAGGGTGAGTACAGGATTGGAATCCTGCCAGTCTTGTAGAAGTACTTTGCACTTCGAAGGTGCAAAGCACATACCATACCTACGGACACTGATTGCCAACTGATTAAGTGCGGATTGCATGCCTTGGGCATTATCGCACAATAAGACAATATCGTCCGCATACTCAAGGTCGAGAAGTCTTTCTCCAGGCAACAGATCCACACCACCATTACTTACATTCATCAGAGCTGTTTCTAGAATGTCATCGATGGTAAAGTTGAAGAGGAATGGTGAGATTGGGCAACCCTGCCTAACCCCACTGCTCGAATGGAACAATGGAGAGAGGTGGTTGTATGCCCTCACTCTGCCTGAGGTGTTTTTATATAGGGCTTTTAGGATGTTAATAAACTTCTCAGGCACACCCTTCTTCAATAGACAATCCCAGAGAACAGTCCTGTCCAACGAATCGAAGGCAGCCGTGATGTCAAGAAACACTACGATTGTTGGCCTTCGATAAGTATGGCGATGTTCTAACATTTGGCGGAGGGTGAAGATATGATCAATACAACCTCGACCAGAACGAAACCCAACCTGCTCCTCGCGAGTCAATCTTTCTCGGGTTTTGAACAACCTACGAAGTATGACGGAAGCCAATAGCTTGGACGCAATCGGAAGTAGACTTATCCCCCGATAGTTGTTGCAGGAACGACGTGAACCCTTTTTAAAGATAGGGACAACTATCGACTCATTCCATGACGTTGGTACACTCTCTAATTCCCAAACCTTTGTAAACAACGTCGTCAATTCCTTAGTCAAAAAGTCACCACCATCTTTAAAAAGAGCCGGAGGTAAGTCATCTGGGCCAGGCGATTTGTAACGCTTCAAGAGTTGGAGTTCCTTGCGGACTTCCTCCTCGTTTGGTGGATCAGTCGTCACCGGCCATGGAGGGCAGGACAGTCTGACCGATGTTGCCGGAGCAGCAGGCCAGTTGAACTGCCCTTCGAAAAATTCTGCCTATCGTCCAAGACGTCGATGGATGTTAGGGATTGGCATCCCATCATCATCACAGATTGTTTCACTCACACCAGACTTCTTGCTGCCAGTGGCTCGGATGAGCTGGAAGAGCTTGCGGTAGTTACCAGATGCAGCTGCTGCTTCCAGCTCATTAGCACGCTCCGACCACCAGGCTTCTCGGTCCTTACGCAAGCTTTGCCCAATTTCCTTACGTAACATCCTTCGTTTATGGTCAAACTCACGGTCACCCGGAGTAGACCGACGGGCTTCAATGAGTTGTAAGGAACCAGAAGAAACCCAGTGCTTAAAAGCGGGACGTTTCGCAAACCCACAACTGACTGTTCCCGCCATTTTCATGGCGTCATGCAATTGCAACCAATGCTCATCTATACTTTTCGGTGGAGTGGTAGCTAGCATAGAGGCTAGCTCGGTTCGATACTTATTTGCAACAGAAGTTGCAACCAGCTTGCTAATATCAATCCTTTGATGGCGGTCACTTCGTTGTCCACTGAAAAGTAAGGCAAGATTGGCGCAGACCAAGGCATGGTCAGAGTCCAGATAGGTACTCCAAAAAGAGCGGCAGTCTTGCACACAACCACGCCAGCGGTAGCTGATCGCGATGTGATCAATCTGAGTCCAGGCTTGAGATGCAGAGGGAGGACGCCAGGTGGCACATCGGCGATGACTGTGCCGAAAGTTAGTGCTAGCCAGAAACAGGTTGTGGTCTGTGCAAAGTTGCAGTAGACGGTCCCCGTTATCTGACCTGCGACCAACGAGTCCCCATCGGCCACCTAAACGACTATCTTCTGTGCCTAGACGCCCGACCTGAGCATTCAAGTCTCCGGCTAGTACTACAATATCTGTCGAACGCACTTTCTGGAGAACAGATAACTGGTGGTAAAACTCATCCTTGATTGCATCCGGGCTGCAATCTGTCGGGGCATAGGCGGAGATGACGAAAAGACATCGTTTCTCAGGCCGATTTCTTCTCACTTTGATGGAACTTTCTAATCTAACAGCACATAACCGACTGTTAATGGGGATCCAATCGACTAGTGCTGCCTCAGCTCTAGCGCTTAGTGCGACACCAACGCCAGCAAGACCAGACGAAGATGCCACAGGGTCCCCGGATAAGCGCACGTAAAACAAGCCTTTCGAAGCGACAGATGGAGATCAAATTTGTAGTACTTCGCCAGAGTCTTGAATACGGGTCTCGGATAGACAACAAACATCAATATTAGGACTTTCCAAAGATATAGCCAGCCCTATCTGTTGTCCGACCTGCACTAGTGTGCGAACATTGAAGGCAGCCAGTTTGAATGGCGCACGTGGTTTCAGAAAAACTGCTTTAGTTCTCGTATTCGGTGGTAACATACAATTTTCAACCGGACAGTGACTCGAGAACGTTTAGATGCAGTCGAATTTCCACCAAAGACGAGCCGCTGTATAAGTATAAAAGAGGGTGAATAATGTGGAAAATAATAATAATAATAATAATAATAATAATAATAATAATAATAATAATAATAATAATAATAATAATGACAATAATGGTCATAATAATAATAGTATTAATAATGACAATAATTGTAATGATAATAATTTGAATCAATTTGTTTTTCGAAGCGAGAAAGGTAATTTCCATAGACATAAAGAGTTCATCATTTGTGTGTGGGCTGTGATACTGCCCGGGTGCCCAAACCGAAACAGGTGGTTTTCTTAGGGGGCCACACCCCGAGCCTTTGACCTAATGGTCTAACCCACAAGGCAGTGGAGCATCGTAAGGAGATGCAATCCCATGGTAGCCGGTGACCAACGGTTGGTTCATACGCCATTTGTTCCCGCAGGATACTGGAGCCCATGTGCACCATTGGTTTGTGATCCGGTTAAAGCGCCGGACGTTCGCTTTTCGTCCTCTCATTTTCGTAAACAACACCCCCGCCACGAGAAGGCAATGAGTAGGACTTCCCTGGCAGAGGCTGTATACGCGCGGCCGTGTGAGAGTATTTCGAGAGGGAGAGCGGACTCTCCCCACTCTCGGCCGTACCAGGGCGTTCGATTCATCGCGACCGTGACGGCTAGCTGATGGATCCTGTAGTCATTGAGAAAGATACTGTTTTAAGGCTACTCCAGCATCTCAAACCTGATACGTCCAGTGGTCCTGATGATATTCATCCTAGGATTATGAAAGCCATATCAAATAAAATTGCTGAACCATTAGCGATACTATTCGACATGTCTCTGAAACAGTTCAGACATCCTAGAGAGAGACTGGAAAGACGCCATAATAAGTCCGGTGTATAAGGCCGGGAGTAGGGATTTAGTTAGGAACTATAGACCCGTTAGCTTAACTAGTGCAGTTGCAAAACTGATGGAGAAAATCATTCGGATAGCTGTTATAAATTATGTTGAAGGGCAAAATCTTTTCTCCAGGGCACAACATGGTTTTCGGAAAGGCCTATCTTGCTTGACAAATCTCGAGAAGATTGGGCTGCGGCAAAGGATCGGAATGTTCCTGTGAATGTGATTTTCATAGATCTAAGTAAAGCCTTTGATAAGGTTTCCCACTCTGGTTTTAAATTCAAACTGGCACGTTTTGGAATCCATTATACAGTCGTCGATTGGATAAGTAACTTTCTCCATGACAGGAGACAAAGGGTAAAGGTTAATGGGGCTCTCTCCTCGTGGGTACCTGTAAAAAGTGGGGTTCCCCAAGGTACAATCCTAGGTCCTCTTCACTTTTTACTTTGTGTAGATGAATTGCCAACTGTAGCAAAATCATCCGTTCTACTCTTCGCTGATGACATAAAGATTTGGAGACCAATACATAGTATGTCGGATAGAATAGTATTACAGGACGATCTTAGCTCATTGGTGGCATGGTTAGACAGGTAGTCACTAGAAGTAAATCTTAATAAGAGTGTAGTGATGCAGTTAAATAACTCTGATGAATCGTATGACTATACACTACGTGGATTCGTGCTACCCAAAGCAAGAAACTATATAGATTTAGGAGTCGTATTAAGCAATGATCTCAAAACGACTAGTCATTGTAAGGCTGCTGCTGCAAAAGGCTATAGGGTATTATGGTTAAATCGTAGGTCTTTCCAGTATTTAGATGATGAAATGTTTAGATTACTATACCCGATTTATGTGCGACCACATTTAGAATACGGGATTCAAACAGCGTGTCCTTGTTTCAAGTATGAAACAGATATGCTAGAAAGAGTCCAACAACGAGCTACTAGGATGGTACAAGGTCTATCTGGCCTATCTTATGAAGACAGACTGAGATACCTTAACTTATTTCAGTTAACTTATCGCAGAATACGGGGTGATCTAATATTGGCTTATCGTATACTGAACGATGACCTTGGTATTAACATGTCTTATCTTTTGCTTCCGTCTAGAACCGATCATTTGAAAGGACATTCGAAGAAAGTTCAAAAACCGAGATCAAGTCGTCTATGTCCGGAGTTTCGTTTCTCACACCGAGTAGTGAATTACTGGAATTCTCTACCGGAACACGTAATATCAGCACCGTCTGTTAATATATTCAAAACGAGGTTGGAACTCCACAGTATTACAAACTGCAAGGATTAATATAGGTCGATAGACCTCCTATCCTTATTACTGAAGAGTGAAAACTGAGATTAGAAGATCTATCAGCTGAAAACCAAGATAGAAGTTACAGAAGACATAAGGCTTGATAAATTCACAAAATATATGGTGAGCGGAAAAAACAAAACGGTAAAAATTCTTCAGATGTGTATGGCTAAATTGTAAGTTACAACGATAAAAGACTGAAAATGAAGCTCAAAAATCTGATGGCCACGTACTTCAATTCAAAAATAATTGATGATAGATACTTTATTCAGACACATATTCAGGGTTTTAAAACACTGTTTATACATTCACTGCAACAAATATAGTTGAAGTAGTGCAGAGGAAACACGGAAATTCGAAGTCTTGCATCGATGGAATTTATTTGAAAAATTATTTATTTAAAATTCAATGTTAAGCTGATTATCCAAGATATCGACATCTTGGGCTAAGGTTAATCGATGTTCTAACCGGTCTAAGAAGGGACTGTATCTCGTAGTATCAGGCTTATAAGCTTATTGTACAATGAATTATCATTAAATCGTAAGAAATCAAAAGAATAAAAGGCAGTCGATAAACGAAAATTTAGGGTCGAATATATAAATTAAACAATGGTATGCATTAAAAAAAATGAAGCTCTGAAATGCCTAACATTGAAAACGAGTTGGAGGATCTGTCTGATAAACTTTGCCAAAGGCGACGAAAGATCACCGACTTATTCCAAATATCGAGACCATAATTGCTAGAAATCTACTGACACACAGACGGCCTGCAGGTATATAGTGGAACAGTTAGGAAATGAAACGACTCAATTGAAATTTTTTATATACTCACAAAGGGAAATCTGACTTATTTTGACGATCTCAGTTGTAATTTATATTGGATAAGCTTACAAACAAATAAAACAAACCCTACGAATGTGATCGCTTTCCATAGGAAGTTTCGTTATCATAAATCGATGAGAAAATGCTGTAAAAATTAAAAAACCCATAAAATCTCTAGTAAAGATAAATTATATCATAGGCTCCGCAGCATTTACAGGCCGCGTCTATAGTTCTTATCGGTTACCTTGCCTTTCAATTATGGGCGGTTGTAAGGTCACACAAAATAGTGAGTTCAAACTGTGTGTTAGTATAAACCTCGTCCAATTGTCAGATATCAGTTTATAAAGACAGAACTTTACTTGATAGACGAGCCCAAAAATCTCAAACATGCAAAGCAGGATTACCGAATTAGGATTTGCATCTGCGTAGTTATAAGAGGTACATTGTTATGGAAAACTGAACATCAAAACAATTTGGTCGATAGTAAAAGAGATCGAAAAATAACAACTAGAGTATTCCTCCCGTAGGGTCAAACAAATTCCACTGAGCCCTAGCCAAATCATCCGGCAGTTAGGTCATTGAATATTGAACAAATCATCGATGATCAGGTCAAGGACAACCAACGTGCATCAGTTAATCGTACGCCATGGACTGGCCCTTGCGGCAATGTTGTTAACTCAGCTTGTATCTACTTTAACTAATATTTTTTGTAGTGACTTGCTTTGTGTTGTAGTCTTCAAAGTATTTATAATACCTTGGTACGTAAATGGGTTAGTCTATTTAAGGTCCTGACCGCTAGGTGCGACTCCGACGTTAGCCGGTTTGTCACACCATTATTCTCTCACTCGAGTAGGTCTTCAATCATTTCGACATAGATCATCTACGTTGGTGATCTACACTCCTTAATGTTTATAGGGTTAAGGTTATTGTAAATCGCCAACGGAGATCTGTGTAGAATGATTGGGAGCCTAGTTGATTTGATGAGAATGGTGTGAGCAACCAGCTAACGTGGAAGTTACACTTCACGGTTAGCATCTAACGCGGCTTATCCTCTCATCGTATTCAGCTACTACGTCCTGTTTGGTGACCGTACAACAAAGACGACGTTATTAAAGAAATATTTTAGCAAGATTAGGTACAAGAAACAAAGTTCGACCAAAACCGCATGGACCTGTCTGAGGATTGCAATTAATTGATGTGCGTTGGTTCTCCTTGACCCTGACGAGAGTCTGAGAATTACCTGATATTCAGTGACACGAATGCCGAGAACAGTATTAAAGAGCACCCACAAGTGAATGTAGTACTGGAGATAGTACATTTGTCAGTGGAGTGAGTCTTTTAATATCTGACCAAAAACCACTACTTTCAACTAGGTATCCAAGACATCCAAAACTAGATACACAATGTGAACACTTGTTTGAATTCACTGTAAAATTCTTCTCAATTAAACGACGCAATAAAGCAATAATTCTTTGGTCATGAACCACCTCATCAGAAACACCAGCAATGAGATCATCTTGGTAAGCTTCAATAACTTCAAGATCACTGACTAACCTATTTATTAAAAATGGCACAGATATGTGGAGTTCGACAACACTTCAACCAGTAACACCTAATATGAATCGTACCCATCAAGTGAAATCAAAAGACAGAAACTAGGAGGTTCGTAGATATATTTGATAGGCTATCAGTATATCGAGGATCGACTAATCTATTATGACTAGCGATTGCAGAGGATGGTAAGCACGGCGTTCCCACTCATGATCTGGTGCAGATGCATGACCGAGCGCCCTCAGCTAGGTGATTCAATTAAAACTGAATCGGTCAGCATCCAATGTCGAAAACTTAAAGAGCTATTTATTTTGGGGATTTATTTAACGCTACATCATCACTTCCTGAAATATGACTGGAGAACAACTTCGACCAAGTGGAAGGAAGTTGCATTTGAACAGACCTGAAGGAGAAGGTGATCTGAATGGGCTTGAAGATAACCATCTTTCAAGTCAACGTTTGACAACACGTTAGAACTAAGAATATCTCCAGCCTCCGCCGTCGTGCATACTTGTTTCAGCGAACGGAAGTTCAGTGTTAACCTATAGTCACCACATATTCTAGGGGTCTTACCATCCAACTTCAGTGGTGTAACAATAGGAGTACCTCATGCTAAAGATTGAATCGGTCAAATTATATCATTCGCACAAAAACCGTTCAATGTCTTATATACTAAATCCTGAGGATCAAAAGGAATACTGGATCACCATATACTACATGCCTCCACTGTACTTAGCACACGCAGATAACAAGTCTTTAAGTAAAGCATCATAATTTTCTTTAGAAATAAATTAAGACACCTTCACTTGTGTTTACCTCGTTCAGAATATTACAAATACAGCAAATAAAAACTAATAAAATTCACCATACCTAGTTTTAAATTACAACATACAAATCCCAAATAGGACTTTCAAAAATATTATCTGTCTAGTCAAATGTGTGTTCTGTCAATTATATTATGGCTGAAGTTCTACTAAACCATGGAGCACGATGTTGAGCAACCATAGTTTATCAAGTAAAGAAGTTCGTCAGTTTAATGTATAAAAAATCACGTTAAAGATGAATTAAAATGAGATTTTAATTACATGTCTTGAAGTCCATAGCATTCGCTTTAATTGTTGCACTTCCATAGCTGTGCTACTCTACACTTGCATGGAGAGAACATGTGTTCTTTAGGTTTACCACGCTATACATTGTGAATACAAAGATTGAAAAGTCACTTTTGTGTATCTTCAACGCATTTTTAGGAAGTTTCGAAGTTATATTTCGTCTACGCAACCTTACGCAACTTAAATATTAATAAAGTAATCCATCAATGATGCGATTCAGAATTACTTAAACCATGGATTATTGATTCAGAAAAACCAGAACTATTCTGCAAATTATATTGTGATCAGACAAATAACTATCCTGAATAATTTCACAACCTAATGGCCATAAATGATTAGATTTATCAGTTTCCCCTTTTAGTTATCTTCACCACTAGTAGGAACGCACCAGTGTGGTGTATAAAATACTACTTTGATTACGTCTTAAAACTCATACGTTGCAATTATCATTTTTCTGTTTTCAGAAACGTTCATTAATTTATTGATTGCAAAGGTTTAAATAAGTCGAATACGGTAGTTAGTATAACGTCAACTATAAACAAAGTCAAAAAGCAAATGACCTCAATATGTTAAAAACGGAACATTGGAGGAAAATTCGAAATTGTGAGGTTATTGAGTGGCGGTTTTGGAAATACTGCCAAATAGTAAGGAAAACACCACGTAACTCTCGTTTACTTTTCTCGAAAAAAACCGGAGATCTTCCTAGAAAATTTATAAGATTCTTTCAAAGCACAGTTGATTTTGAGATTTAACTTTGAGGCCAGTAAATCCTGAATTTTACTTGTCAAATGAATCATTTGACCTCTGCCCCGGGAGTTGAAGGTTTTTCGTTGAAAAAAGCATGACACCTCAAAAGGAATGCCAGGATTCATCGGAAGCCATGAATCCAATGCTACTTCTAACAACTGGAGCAATAATTAATATACGTACATGAAATGTATAAACAATCTGGTGACGAGCAAGAGAATGCTTCACTTGAACAGGTAATCCCACTGATGCATTCTAACAAAATACGACGGGCACTTATGAGATGAGGGTCTTATTGACCCATGATCAAATCAACATTCGAAACACAGAGGTCAAAATGTCAATTACCCAGTGCTGTGCGTTCCTCAGTCATAGCAGTGAATAAGATAATGATCAGTTTAACGAGAGGTTAGATGCGATCGTAGAGAAGTGCCCAAGAAAAGACCTGACCATCCTAACGGAAGACCTGAGCATCAAAGTCGGGATGGTTAACACGGGATATGAAGATATCAACGAATAACATGAACTGACTAGGAGAAATGAAGGATAGTGTTGATAGACTTACGAATTTATGTGCTTTCAAGAAAATGTTTATAAACGGCACAATATTACACCACAAATGCATACGCAAAACTAATTGGAGTTTCATCGAACCACACTACAGAGAATCATATCGACCGTATTTGTATCACTAAATATTCAGGTCCATGGGAGACGCGAAAGCAAAGAAAGGAACGTACATAGACTCAGAGGGCCAACATGTGGTGTCCGAGATGAAACAGATGTTAAAGAGGCATTGGACGACTGTATAAACGAAATTACAAAGGTTCGATACTGCCCTTCTTCAACATACTGACAAAGCAAACAAATCAAGATAACTTTGAACAACAGCTTTCAAGTCTTACAAGATCCACCTAACAAATAGGAAACTACTATGGAGGACAACTGGAAAGTGATCAAAAAGGCACTGACTAACACTAACATGTCAGAATTTTCCGAGCAGCACGAAGAGTCATGAAGAGTGAATCTCTATCAAAACCCTGAACAACATTTGGGAAAGGGAGAACAAGACAGCATTTAACATCAGCCGAACAAGAATAGAGGTAGTCATGGCACAAGCTGAATATACAGAAGCAAACAAGCAAGTCAAGAAGAGTATTACAAATGACAAGCAGAAATACGTAGATAACCTGGCAAAGACGGCGAAAAGAGCTGTAGGAGAAAGAAATATATTTTGATAGAGACCATGAACCGATTGACATCAAGCCAACAATGAAACCCCAGAACCACTGAACAGCCGTTTCGTCCTTAAAATTCAGTAGACACCCAACTTCGGGATCAAAAGGTCGGATTCTGTAAGAATCGGTCATGCACAGATCAAACCGCGACACGGCAGATCGTTACTAAGCAATCAGTCAAATGGAATTTGTCAAAATATACCAACTTTTCCGGTTATGAGGAAGCGATTGACACTGTGGATAAGAGAACCTTATTCTAGATACATGCCTACTAATTTTTGATACGAACTTCATCAATTATTGTTATTACACATTCTACACTGTGTTCAGTTCTCAATGGTCCAGCGTATTTCTTTCAAAATGGTTAGAAATCTACAGGTCGATCATTTTGCACTGCCAAAAGATCTCAAATTACAACGAAAAAGACGTCAAGTGGGTTCCGACTTTTAAGTTTTCCAAATGCTCCCAGTGTCTTCCAAACATTATTATTCAATGCAAGATGAGAAATCTGACTTTTACATATTTAAAACTAAGGTTTTTGGCCTTTGCTAATTAAGTTTCTTCGGGAGATAAATGAACTCAATACAGAAATAAAAAAAGGTTGCATCAACTAACGACACAGACTCATCCCAGTAGATAAAATTATAAATAAGTCACAAAATTTCCTAGTAAACACAGCTTTGGTGAATCAACGATTAAACGTGTTCATTTGCTACTCGCACAGTTAGCTGATACTTCTAGCGGTTGCATAGAGACAGAACTCAATCATCAACT